GGCCCCACGCGCGTGCCCGTCCGCACGCGTGCCCGCGCCCCTTCCCCCTCCCCCTCCCCCCAACGGTCTCCGGCCCGACCCGGCCCCGCCGCCTCGCCTCACCTCGGCCTCGGCCCGGGGCCGCAGACAGCCCACCTCGGCCCGCTCCCGGCCTCCCGCGCCGCCTCCCGGCCCCGCTCACGCTCGGACGGACGCACTGACGGACGGACGGACGGACGGGACCGACGGACGGACGGACTGACTTCCCCGCCCGCCGCTGCCCAGCCCAGCCGTAGCCGGCCCTGCCTCCCGCCTGCCCGCTCCCCATTGGCCGCCCGCGCTCGGGGCAACGCCCTCTCCGGGCTCTGCCTCCCGTCATTGGACCGGCCGCTCAGCGAGGGCCGAGGGAGTCGAGGCCACGCCCCCGGCGCGCCAGAGGGAAACTTCCTGAGCCCCCATTGGCTGGTTTCCCTGTCGATCGAAGCTAGTTGCTATTTAACCAGCCCGAGGCGGGGGCGGGGGCGGGGATTGGTTAGTTACAGTTTCTCCGGGGTTTTAGAGCTTTGACTACGTGGGGCCGCGGAGAGATCGCTGCCTCGGCCCCTCGATCCAGAGGTCACCGCGAGCGGGGCAGCGACCCTCATTGGGCCTCAGTTTCCCCCTCTGTAAAATGAGAGGGGAGTGAGCTTGCTGGGCTCCCAGGTGGAGGTGAGCCAGCCGGCGCTGGGCAGTGGGGGGTCCCGCCTCCGCTAGCTGTGTGCGACCCTGGGCACGTTGCCCCTCCTCCCCCGACGTTGGGAGCCCTTTAGGGCCGCCTCGCTGCCAGCTCCCGTCTTAGGAGTCGGGGGTCTCCCCAGGCAGAAGGCGGACTCCCCGGAGTCTTGTCCAGCCCCTCCTAACGCCAGTGCCTGCCTTCCCTACTTAGTTATTTCCCATTTCTCTTGTAGGTAGCTTTCATTGCGCGTGCTCCCCATCAGATGCCAAGCTTCTCCCGGACAAAGACTGTCTTTTGCTCCTTTTTGTGTCCCAGCGCCTGGCACATAGTAGGTGCTTAATAAATGTTGATTGATTTCTCTGAGTCCACCGTACCCAGCACAGTGCCTGGCACATAGAGCTTAATAAAGTCTTGCTGTTTATCTGGGAATTTGTTTCCCTGGACTCTGCCTCTTTGTTACAAGGACTTTGTTTTTCTTTTCTTCTTTTTCTCCATTGTGGGGAGGAGTGAAGGGCTAGGGAAGGGAGGGAAGGAAGATAGGAAGATTGGACCAACTTTTTTTTTTTAATGAAGAGGAGTGAACAGAAGAAAGGCCAGAAATAAGCACAGAAAAGCAGGATTGTTCTTGTAGACACTTATTATGGCAACTAGGGAGTGCCACAGTGACCAGAGCGCCAGGCCTGGAGTCAGTAAGACCTGAGTTTAAATCCAGACTCAGACACTAGCTGAGTGGCCCTGCTTGAGTTACTTCGCCTTTTCTGCCTCAGTTTCCTTAGTTGTAAAATGAGGTGCTAACAGCGCCGCCTCCCGGGCTTATCAGGAAGTCAGAGTCCCTCCAGTGAGGAAGGCAGGAGACTCAGATCTCACCCCATCCATTTCCCACGAGGTGCCCTCGGGCTTCAGTTTCCCCTTCAAGGACAGGCAGGTTCAAGTTCTGTGACCTTGGGCCAGTGACAATCTCTCTGAACTTCAGTTTCCCTATCCATCAGATTGGGATTTACTCTGGTGGTGGGTCAATGGTGAGGCTCCAACGAGGTCACGTGTGCTTTGCAAATGTTTGCAAATCTCCGTAAAAAGTTCAGCTATTACTCTTCCAATGCATAAGATCTGGGGCTGGAAGGGACCTAGTCTAGTCCCCTCATTTTACAGATGGGGAAACTGTGACCAGGGAGGGGACCCAGCGGTCATTGCTAGGGTTAGGAACCCGAGCCCAGAGCTCTTTCCACTCTACAAGGCTGTGCCTAATGCAGGTGTAGGGTTTGAGGGGGGGAAGGGTGTCAAATATAACTAATTACACCAAGCTGGGAAGTCAAGATTTCCCTCCTTCCTGGGATGCCAACCTGCAGGACAACCACCCACCAAATATTAATGTCCTAACACTGGATCTGGAGCCAGGGCCCTGGATTCAAATTCCACCTCCACCACCTATGGCAATGGTGAAGTCAGGGCACCCCTCAGAGCCTCAGCACTCACCTTACAGGGCAGTGGGTAGGAAGGAGTCTGCCTTGAAAACTGCCAGTCGTTACAGAACTAAGACATGGGTACAAAGCCAGTTACCCGTAAAACCCCTTTTAAAGTACCGACCGTCAATTCTCACAGAGCCTGTTTTGTGAAGTGTTTCTGCAGCTACTTTGTGGTCGGTCCAAGTCCTCGGCTGTGCCTTGCTGCCTAGTTTAGACAGGACATCCCCAAACCCTCAGTGGCACTTTAAGCTTAAAGCTGTCAATAATATTAAACTACACTAAGACTTTTGGAGTATGTGCATCTGGCATAATTTCCTGTTTGGTCTCCCTGCCTGTGGTTTCTCCCCACTAGGCTCCATCCTCCACATGCCCACCAAAGACATTTTCCTGAAATGTAGGTCTGACCATATCATTCCCACCCTGCTCTCCCTCTATCAACTCCAGTGGCTCCCTGTTACCTCCAGGGTCAAAAATAAAATCCTCTGTTGGACATTCAGAACCCTTCACAACTGGACCTCGCTCTTTGGCCACACACTGGCATGCCTCCGTGTTGCCCTCCCCACAGGTCCTTGATCTCCAACCTCCATACCTTTGTATCGCCTGTCCCCTCATGGCTGAAGTCCTCTCCTGCGTCACCTGAGTTTCCTGGGTTTTCCTAGAGCCTCAGCTGAGACACCACCGCCTTTTACAGCCTACAGGCCTTTTCTGGGTAGCCTGATATCACACCCTTTAGGTCCTGGCCCACCCCACCCCAGGGGTTCACGTTCTCCCTTCCCCAACTACCTGGTATATCCCCTGTACATGTGTGCAGGATGTCTCCCCTGTTAAGCAAAGTGAGCACAAGGGATTATTTCGGGTTTTTTGTCTTTGTATGCCCAGAAAGAACCCAGCCCAGTAGCTGGCACATAGCGGGGACTTAACACGTGCCTGTTGACTGCCTGACAGAGGTCAGACAATGAGGAGGTCACTTTAAGTGGAGGGATTATAGCATTTGTTCAAGGTGGGCCTTGAAGGACAGGCCCTGGGTCTGTAAGATGTGTAAGAAAGCCACACAGTTGTGTGTGTGTGTTTATGTGGTATACCTGCTGACTTTACGGGGCCCCACCTAAGTCTCTGCTCATCACAGGGGCCAAACTAGTGTCAGTGCCCAAGCCCAAGAAACAGCCACTGTCCCAGGCCAAGAGGAGCACCCTCCCCAGCCCACACCCACAAGTTAAACAAGGCCCTGCTAATTCAGGTGTTGAGTAGCAATCATTTCCTGGTATAAAAACAGAGAGAGAAACTGGAGAGGCCCAAAGGCCCGGCTCAGGGCTCCCTGGAGGCTGCACAGGCCAGTGAGGCCTTGGACCAATTTCAAGGGCACCGCCCACCCCCCAATCTGGGTACTACTTGTCAGGCTATGTTATCGCTTCGGGGAAGGGGGGTGGGGCTGCTTGGTTTTATCTCCTTTGGGGTTTTCTGTTCAACCCCCTAAACCAGACTTAAGTGCTGGGGTTACTGGCTTCCAGATCCCCCTCCCTCCAGCTCAGAGGTAAGACCTTGGCCAAGTCCCTTCTCCTGACCCTTAGTATTTTGCTTCGGTAAGATGAGGAAGGTGGACGAAGTGATCCGAAAAGTCCCTTCCAGCTCCGCCATTCCACACTCCTGCCTGGGCTCTGCCTGCTCTCCACATACCTGAATCCTACTCATAATGCTCACACAGTAGGCATTTAATAAATGCTTATTAAAGGAACTGAAATTGTGCGATGCTTCCATGCAGCCTCCCCCAATCCTGACCATGTCACTCCCCTGCTGAAGGTGACCTCCAGTGGCTCCCTATGACCCCCAGCCTCAAACATAAAACTTCTGTCGTGCCTGTGAAGACCAGCCCCAGCGGCCGTGGGTGCTCACTCTCCTTCTGTAAATACCTCAGTCCAGCCAAGCAGACTTGTTTGTGCTTTCTCACACACTCCTAGCGCCATCTCCTCCCCTGGTCCTAATTGGGCCCTTTGCAGGGGGAGTGCCCTTCCTCCTCCCGTTAGAACCCCTGTCCCTCAAGGGCCACCCTGTCTACCTACACCCTTTGTGTTTCTTTGGTGGACACATTTGTTCGGGTCTCACCACTGCCCACTTTGACTTTGTGTCCCCGGCACCAGCCCACTACCTGTACACAGTGGGTGCTTAATGAATGCTTGTCACTTGAGTCCATCTGCATCTGTAACAATAATGATCCCCTCTCTCTCAGTGTACTCACAGAGTATAAGCCATGGTAAGAGCAAACATTTCAAGTCTGCCAAGTTGTTATCTCATCTAAGTATCACCATCCTCATTTTGGAGATGAGGAAAGGGAGGTTTCCAAAGGTGGTGGTGACTGGCCTCCAGACTCCAGCTGAAGGTTCCTAGCTCACCAGCCAGCCAAAGGCATGGAAGGCCGAGTGGATGCCTACACTTTACAAGTCCCTAGGGGATCTCGAGGAAATGCTGCAGACCTCAGGGCAGAGAGGTGGGAGGCTGCTGGGCCCGAGGGTCATCGACAGGGCAGATAGGATCCCCCAGGCGGTGGCCTTGCTTTGTTTTGTACTAGGGAGGGCTGGATGGGGTGGGAGGGGAAGAAATGGAAGGAGAGGGAAGCAGGCTTTCCCCCTAGAAATGACTGGGATATGAAGACAAAGGCTATCAGTAAGAATCTGTTTTCAAAAAGATCTTTGGGATCTGTAAAATGTTACAGAAAGATGAGTAGCTATTTTATTTCTAATTAAATTTTTATTTTTATTTTAAATTACAATTTTAAAATTAAAAATTTAATTTAATTTTAAATTAAAATTACAATTTATTTTAAAATACAATTTTATTTAATGGTGATGATGATAGCCCCTCTGTCTATACCCTGAGTATAGAGCAGGTGTTTTTAACAAGCATTGGTCCAATGGCATCATCATTTCCAGCTCCTCCCTTTTTCCCTGGTTCTGAGGCCTTTTGTAAGGCCACTGCCCAACCCTTCTCCTCTCTGATTCATCCTCTCCTTCCAGTGCTCCGTTGATTTCTCTTCCTGCCCCACACATCGTATTTTCTCTCCTCTTCCCTATCTTGGTGTCTCTGCACCTGCATCTCTCCCAACAGAGGTTCGGATTTAGTCATTCTCTCCTCCTGCCAGGCCCCCCTGGCCTATCCATGCCTATGTCCTCTACACTCTACACTGACTTTACCTCCCACCCCCCCCTTCCTGTCTCCAGGCCTTCCTCTGCTGTGGGCACCGGGCCAGCACCCTCCACCTTCTCAGATACCCCCTGGAAATGAGTTCCTGGTGTGGTTCTTTTCCAAGAAGTCTTCCATGGGCCACCATCACTGGTGGTTAAGAGGAGGATGGAAGTGGGCAGAATGACTGTTTTCAAGCCTCTGAAGGGCTTGTCCCATGGCAGAAGGATTGTTTGTCTCTTTCTGCTTGACCGTAGTGGGCAGAATCAGGCTCAGCTGTGGGTCAGCAGCCAATTCCAGGCAATCAGGTTTTAGATTGAGATCAGCACACACTTCGGAACAGTGAGAGCTGTCCCAAGGGGAATGGGCAGCCTTAGGATACATCTACCTTCCCAAACCACCTTCTCTCTCTCCCTGGTGTTCTCCCCTTCCCCAAGGAAAGAAATGGCCTTTCTAACCCTCACTTCACTGCTAAGTCACTAAGTCTAGTGAAGGAGTGGCCCCTGGGTCCTCCCTTCCCCTGCTACCAGATGAGCAGGGAAAAGGGGCCCAGGGGAGCTCTGGGACATCCCTGGTCAGTGCTTCCTTAGAGGTTGGTCCGTGAATGAGTAAATGGGCCCAGACTGGCCCTTCACGCTGAGCGGGCTTCTCTCTGTGGGCCCCTGAGCTCAGATCACTACCCTTCCCAAAGGTCTACGCCCCAATTCTACCAGAGGCTTTCCCCACCTCCCACCATGGGGTCTTAGCACCTTCCCCCAAGCCCTAGAAATCACTATGTAGACACATTATGCAGACAAGATACACACCATATACTTATCATGACCCATATTGGTCCCCCCCAAGTAAAACGTATCCCCCCAGGGGGCAGGACCCAGCACAGTACCTGGCACACAGCAGGTGCTTAATAAAGGCTCCATCTCCTCTCTGCTCACTAACCTCTACCCAGCTGCTCTGAATTTCCTCCCAAGTCAGGCTATCGTCAGTCCCTCCTTTCCCCTCCCTCCATGCTGGTGGCCTCCTTTTCACTCCTTCATCTATTTTTAATCTAATTCTAACACCCTCAATAGCCAATGAGTCTGGCTTGGATGCCATGAGGGTGCAGGGAGGTGGGAAAGGCTGTCTTGGCAGTCCCTCTGGAGGAAGTGAAAGTTGACTCCTTCCTGAGACCAGTCTCTCACTCCATTCCCAAATAAAGTAGGTGCTACTTCCCACCGTGCTCTCTCCCACGTCCACGCCTTTGTCCACCTCTCACATCTGGCACTGATGCTGTCATCTCCATCCACTGACATCCTTCTCCTCCTTCAGTGACCAGCTCAGGGTCACCTCCTCTGATCCCTCCATCCAGGAGAAGGGTCCTTCCCACCCAAGGGCCTTCCCTGTCTGTTGTCTTTTTCTGCAATAACTAGTCATTCCTGGAGCCATAATCCTAACACTTGCTAACATTTTGATAGACCTTCAGGTCTGCAAAGTGTTTTACGATTTTCTCATTGGCTCCTCCCAACAGCTCTTTGAGGTTGCTGGGCTATTATTATCCCCATTTCACTGATGAGAAGACTAAGGCTGAGATGCTTAGGGTCACCCAGCTAATAAGTATCTAAGTGCCCTCTTGTTCCAAAACCCACGTTCCTATGAAGCTCCATCTCAGCTTCCTTATAACTTTGTGAGACTGTCCTGCTTTAGGTCAAGGACGGTTTTCCATCTTGGTATGTCCAGCACAGAACCCAGTCCTGGTATGAGGTGGGGATTTAGCAATTATGAATTACACTCCTGAAATCTCAGAGATGGAAGAGACTTGAGGGTCATTTAGTCTAACACCGGGCCCTTCCAGTGTGGGGGAATCCCATCTAGAACCTCTGCTCCAAAGCATTCTCGACCGCCCTTGAAAAAGGACAGAGACCCCCATCTCCTCCCTCCCTGGCAGCCCACCAGACCTAACCCTGCATGGCCACAGTTTCCTTGTAAGGTAATTGGGCGCCTCAATTCCAGGTGGGTTGGAGAATTGTCTTCCTTACAACCACCAAAAATCTGTCTAATGTGCAGAGCTAAAGGATGTACACTCCTGCTCAAAACCCTTCTGGGGCTCCCTATTACCTCAAGGATAAAACTCAACCGCCGCTTCCTTCCCCATTGTGCCCCAATCTCCCTTTTCTCTGTCTTGTCTCATAGGCCTTTGGGGGGGGGGGTCCTCTGGGCTTCAGCCCAGCTGCCCAACACAGCATTCCATCGGTCCCAGAACAGGCAGTCCCTGGAGAGTGGAATGTGCACCCTCCCCCTCATCTCAAGCTCTTCCCATCCTAATCTGCCCTGGAGGCTTAGCTCCAGCCGCTTTCCTTCCTGAAGGCTTTCCTGACCCCCACCCCCCAGGCTGCTGCTTATCTCTCTCCCTCCTCAGGCTACCGCGGAGCTCTCTGGGAGCCTGGATCCCTCTTCCATCCTTCCCCCTCCAGCAGAATGATTAGGATTTCTTGAGGTCGGGAGTGATATCAGTGTTGTCTTTGCAGGCCAGGTACCCACCATGGTGCCTGGCCCTTAGCCATCAATAAACACATCTGGGTGGACTGGAATGGAGCTGCTCCTGGTTCTGCCCCCCAGAGCTTCCAGATGGCGCCAGAAAGCGGTATCAGCCCCCCAGCCCACCCCAGGTCTCCTCTCCTCCAGGCTGGAGACAAACGGGGATCCTCCCACGGCATGATGGGAAGGCCCTTTGCCCACCGTGGGAAACTCTGCAGTTTATGGGAAGGAGGAAAAAGGCCTCGGCTCCCCCAGGGCTGCGTCTGTCTCATCTTTCCTCAGGTGCACAGTTCTGGGCACAGCGTGCCACAGACTCAGCCTTGGTGTGGGCGGCCAGCCCGGGGATGCCACCCCTGCCTGTTCTGACACCTGGGGGTTTTGTCCAACTGGTTTGAGGCTGACGGCTCTGGTTTCAGCCTGGAGCACGTGCGTGTCATTAAGCATAATGGCAGCATCAACTGGGCACAGAGAGAACTCTCCCCTGTCCAGGGGAGGCCCGGGCTAATCACAGAGGAGCCTCACTGCTGCCGGCTTGGGCCCTGGATCGCTAAAAGATAACACCAGTGCAGTCTGGGCTCTCAGAAGGAAAAATCGGCCCAAGTGTAATTCTTGAGGTAGTGAGCTCCCCGTCCCTGAAGGTCTTCAGGAAGAGGCCAACTGTAGAGGGGAAGGGCGAGGAATAAGCATTTCCAGAGCTCCTGCTTTGTAAGAGCTTCATAAATATCCTCTCACTTTGTCCTCACAACCCTTGGGAGGTAGGTGCTGTTACTATCCCATTTCACAGCTGGGGAAAGTGAGGCAGGCAGAGGTGAAAGCACTTGCCCAGGGTCACAGTGAGGCTGGATTTGAACTCAGGACTTCCTGCCTCCAGGACCGGCTGGAAGCCCCAGACCCCAGGTGACTTTGGAGATTCTTTTTGACTCAGCCTGTGGCGTAGTGGCTGCCCACAGAGTTTTGTCACTCGATCTCACACAGTCCACTGTGAGTTTAATTCCATTTGACCAGGAAGTAGCAGATGCCCTTTCTTTGCAAGGCCTTGGTTGGTAGTGGCGATGCACAGACCCCAAATTAAATGCTGCCTGCCCTCAAGGTGCTTCTATTCTACCGGGCATATGTGTGCACAGATAAGGAAACAGAAAAGCATTTGAAGAAGATAATTTGAGAAGTCCTTCTTCCTTCCCTCCCTCCCTCTTTTCCTCCTCCTCCCTTCTTTTCTCCCTCCCTCCTTCCCTCTCTTCCTTCTTCCCTCGCTCCCTTTCCCCTCTCCTCCCTCCCTCCCTTCCTTCCTTCCGCCCTCATTTCTCCCCTCTTCTTCCCTCCCTTCCTTTCCTCCCTCCTTCCCTCTCTTCTTCCCTCCCTCCCTCTTTTCCTCCTTCTCTCTCTTCCTCCCTTCTTTTCTCCCTCCCTCCTTCCTTCTCTTCCTCCCTCTCTTCCTTCTTCCCTCCATTCTTCCCTCCCTCCCTCTCTTCCTCCCTTCCTCATTTTTCTTCCCTCTCTCCTTCCTTTCTTTCCTCCCTCCTTCCCTCTTCTTCCCTCCCTCTCTTCCTCATTCTTTTCTTCCCTTTCTCCTTCCGTACTTTCCTCCCTCCCTCCCTCTTTCTCTTCCTCTCTTCTTTTCTCCTTCCCCATAGCCCAGCGCTCTGCTGGTGCCCCTCCCAGGGGCTCTTCCCTGGGTCAGAACTTCCTTTTTCTTTTGCCATTTTGCTCATTCCATCTCCATATAATTGGTTTCCTTAGTCAGTGTATTTCATTTAAGACATTTCCCCAAGAGCATTCTGGGAGGGCTCAGTCCATGAGCTTCCCCCTGCCACCAAAAGGGTAGAGACTCAGGCTCTCGAGGAGGGCCCCCAGCACCTTGGGTGGGGCTCCATTAGGGTTTTTTTGTTTGTTTGTTTGTTTGTTTTTTTAAGAAAATGTGGACAAGAGTCATAAGGGATGAGAATACAAGAGTGGGTGGTGATCTGCTCTGGCAAAGGCAGGGCCCACACTGAAACAGTGAATAAATATCTTTGAAATATAACACAGTCCCCGTCAGTAAGCATTTATTAAGTACCTACTATGTGTAAAACACCATGTTAAGCACTGGAGACACAAAGAAAAAAATGGAAAATATTCCCTGTCTTGCATTGAGGGACCTTCCTTCTTATGGGAAGATACAGGCAAAGAGATGGCTAAACACATGTTAATTTCAGGAAAGGGAAGGGAATGAGCATTTATATAGTGCCTACTGTGTGCCAGGCTTTTTTTTTTACAAATATCTCGTTTGATCCTCTCGACAACTCTACAAGGTAGGTGCTATGATTATCCCCATTTTGCAGCTGAAGAAACTGAGTTAGGCCCAGGGAAGCACAGCTAGTAAGTGTCTGAGGCCCAATTTGAACTCAGGTCTTCCTGACTCCAAGACCAGCACTCTGTGTACCCCAGCTGCCTCTAATAATGGGGGTCAGGAAAGGTTTCCTGTGGGAGGCGCCCCCGAGTTGAGCCTGGAAGTCCCCTAGAAGGGAGGAGGAGGGTGAGCATTGCAGCCCTTGACAGACTGGCCCCCACTGACCACACCTCACTCCAGTCCCTCCTGTCTACTCACGCAGCCACCAGCCGTACAGCCAAGCCCTTGTGACCTTTCACAGAGCTGCTGCACTGGCCCTTCCCGAGCAAAGCCAGTCCATCCTTCACCCAACCCGATATTCTTGAAATACCCGTCTGACCACTTCCCCTTCCTCTCCAGAAGCCTTGCTGTCTCCCTCCTGCCTCCAGGATAAATACAATCCACTCTTTGGCCTCTCAGTGCCTTTGCAGACTGGTTTGCCCCCTCCCTCCATCACCCGTTACCCAGCCCCGCCCATCCCTCCAACTCTGCTCCAGCCATTCTGGTCTGGACAGCGTTCCCTAGAGAGCCCTCCCCCTAAGGACTGTGCTCCTCCTCTGCCCCAAAATGACCTCCTGTGGTTTTTATTTACTCATCTTTGGGAGAGCCGCTTTCCCTTAGCAGAATGCAAGCACACTGAGGGCAGGAATGATTTGTATCCCAGTGCCTGAGCCCAGGGGCTGGGACACAGACGCTTAAGAAATCCTTGTTAACTGAAGTAAATGGAATTACCTCCGTCCTTCTAGCACAGACACATGGCTGCTTGCCCAGCTTTCAGAGAAGGGAGCTTCCTTCAAGGGTAGGGGGCACGGGGCGGCCTCCTCCAAGGGTCCTCCTCACCCTAAGCTCCTAGGATCTGAACAACAAAAAATAGCCAGCTCTGTGTGTGTGTGTATGAATGCGTGTTTGTGAATTTGTGTGTCTTTGTATGAAGGGTATGTGTGTGTCTGTGAGTGTGTGAATGTGTATGTGTCTATAAGTGTGTGAATGTATGTGTGAGCATGTGAGTGAGTGTGAATATGTGAGTGTCTGTGAGCATGTGAATGTGTGTCTGTGTATGAGGGCATATGTGTGTCTGAGGGTGTCTGTGAGCATGTGAATACATGTGTCTGTGTATGAGTGTGTATGTGTGTAAGTGTGTATCTGTGTCTGTGAATTGTGAAAGCATATGTGTCTGTGAGTGTGTATGTGGGGGGAGTATGTGTCTATATGTGTGTGAATGTGTGTATGTGTATCTGTGAATGTGATTGCATGTGTATGTCTGAGTATAAGTGTGTAAGTTTGTATGTGAGTGTGTCTGTGAGTGTGAATGTGTGTTGGTGTCTATGTGTGAATTGTGAAAGTATGTGTGTGTCTGTGAGTGTGTAGGTATGAGTACATGTGTGCATGACTCTGTGTGTGTGTGTGTGTGTGCGCGCGCGCGCGCGTGCGGAAGGGCTTTTTCTGAACTTTCCATCCCTTCTTCCGTTCCCTTCCTTTAGACACTTTCTGTCCTTGCCTGTGTCTCTCTGTGGACAGACAGACCGGCTCTGTTCTGGGGAAGCAGGTTGGGCCACGCCAGCAAACAGCCTCCAAGACTGAAAACAGTTCCAGATCATCCTGAATGCGGCTCTTTCTGTGGCCATGAATCAGGTTTTCTCCACGCCTGGGGCAGCCCCAGCTCAGGGGCTGCCCTGCCCCAGCAGTCACTTCCTGCCATCCAGCCAGGCTCTCCCAGCCTCAGCTGCCTGTGAGGCAGGGGCCGCACAGCGCCAGCCTTTGCTTTGTACAGACCTTTCCCTGGAGGCCCTCCTTTTGTCTCCCTAGCACTTAGCACAGTGCCTGGCACATAGTAGGAGCTTAATACATGTTTATTGATTGACTGAACAACCCTGTGAGGCAGATGCTATTATCATCCTCCCCACATGACAGATGAGGAAACTGAGGCTCACAGTGACTTGCCCAAGGTCTCATAGCTCATAAGTATTTGTTAGAACAGAACTCAACACTACATCCTTTCCTACTCAGTGCCATGGAAAACCAAAAGGCAGCGAAATCGGAACAGAAAGAAGTGGGGCAGGACACAGGTGTCTGGCTGTGTGGTACTCCATTCAGCCTGAAAGAGTCCAGCTTCCAGAAGTCACTTGTGGCAGAGACCCGTCCAATGTGGAAGACAACCAATTCGACTTTGAAGTCCAGCCCCCAGAGAAAGAGGAGGGATTCAGAAAGTGAATGACAAGTAGGGAAAAGGCTGCTATCACCAAAGATCTTGGGAGGAAGAAAACTCACCTATGACCTGGCGCATACGCAGCCAGAACTGGGAAGACATTAACACCAGAACAGAATAGGATCCATTAGGAGATCACGCTTTGTGATCAGTTCAAAGAGCCGGGGTATTGATGAATAAATAGACAAGACAAGGGGGCGGGAATCACACCTGACGAAGCAGAGGAACGTATGCATTCCCAAGAGAGCTTGGAAGCACAGCACAACGTTCCCGCAGGCTTTAACAGAGACAGAAGAATTGGGAGTACAGAATCTCGGCCTGCCCAGGAGAAATACTGGCAGAATATTTAACAGCTCGAATCGAGGGTGCTAAGTCTTCCAAGGAAAGAAAAGGGGGATGCAGATACACAGAAGTGAAGGACAGCCTGCAGAAGAGATGAAGGACAGACACAGGAGAGAAGGAAATAGGTGCCGGGTGATCAGACCAGGGGCAACGGACTCAGGGGTCGAGTTGACCTGGTGAGCAAAAGATGGGAGGTGAGGCCAGAGCAGGAGGGACGGCCTAGGAAAGCAGGGAGGCGACAACTGATGAGACCGCTGCAATCAGGATAGGACTGAAAGGAAGGCGAGAAGCATGAGAGGCGGAGGAAGGACGGGAGAAGGGGAAGGTACAGCATCTGCGATCCCTGTGCGCGGCTACAGTCGGGTGAAGCTACAGACCGTGGCAGCGAGGTCTGGGAAGCCAGGATCTATCAACTGGAGGGAGCTCAGCTCCCCAAAGAGGAGGTGGGATGGGGGGGGGAAGACTGAGAACTTGGTGCCAAGCTCCTTAACAGCAGAGGGAGGATGACTGGGAGCTGGGAGAGAGTCACCAGGCTACAGAGAGGGCGATGCCGCTGGATGGTGATGGTGATAACGGCAGCTAACGTTCACCCGGTGCTTACCACGTGCCAGGCACCACGCTCAGCACCTTACAAATAGCTCACTTGGTCCTCACAACAATCCAGGGAGGGAGGCACTGTTATTATCTCCATTTTACAGCTGAGGAAACTGAGTCAGAGGTCAAGGGACTCACCCAGGGTCACACAGTCAGATTTGAACTGAGTTCTTCCAGACTCCAGACTGGGATCTCTCTATCTACTGACCACAGAGAGCCCCACCCCCTTTAGAATTGTTGTGGGCAAACCCGCCCCAGCTGGACCACGAGATACTGATGATGGAGTAGAGGAAGGCCAGGTCTTCTGTTGCCTACCCCATGATAAGAACAAGGGGTCTGTCCCCTCAGCTTTTAGTAAATCCTTCATGCAAAGGAAATGAATTCTAGAATTTACCTTGAATGTGGTGTTTGGGTTTTTTTAAATATGAGGCAATTGGGGTTACCTTTGCCCAGGGTCACACAGCTAGTGAGTGTTATGTGTCTAAGGCCGGATTTGAACTCAGGTTCTCCTGACTCCTGGGCCGGGTGCTCTATCCACTGCACCACCTAGCACCTTCCCTCCCTCCCTCCCTTCCTTCCCTCCCTCCCCTTCCTTCCTTCCTTCCTTCCTTCCTTCCCTCCTTCCTTCCTTCCTTCCTTCCTTCCTTCCCTTCCTTCCTTCCCTCCTTCCCTCCCTCCTTCCTTCCCTCCCTCCTTCCTTCCTCCTCCTTCCTTCCTTCCCTCCTTCCTTCCTTCCTTCCTTCCTTCCTTCCTTCCTTCCTTCCTTCCTTCCTTCCTTCCTTCCTTCCTTCCTTCCCCCCTTCCTTCCTTCCTCTCTCTCTTTCCTTCCTTCCTTCCTTCCTTCCTTCCTTCCTTCCTTCCTTCCTTCCTTCCTTCCTTCCTTCCTTCCTTCCTTCCTTCCTCTCTCTCTTTCTTTCCTTCCTTCCTTCCTTCTTTCCTTCCTTCCTTCTTGTGGCGTGCCAGCAAGGTCTACAGAACCGTCACCATGGCCGTGCCCAGAGCATCCAAGTTTGAAGAGACTGGGGGTTGGGGGCATCTAATCCAAACAGAATCAGAACAGGAATCCCTCTTACAATGGACCTGACAGGAAGTTGGCTATACCACCCCCCCATCTTATAAATCTTCAGGGGGAGGGAATCACCCCACCTCTCCCCAACTGTGGGGCAGCTCTAAGCCCTAGGAATTGGTTCTGCCGTGGAGCCTCGCTGACATTCCGAGATATCACCCTGGATTCTGCTTTCCCCATGACATACCTTTACATGCATTTGAAGGCGGCGACCTCGTTCCCCCGAAATCTTCTGTTCTCCGCACTCCACATCCCCAGTTCCTTCAAGCAGTCCTCAGATGCTGCGGCCTGGGGGCCGTCACCGTCCCGGTCGTCTCCTCTGGACGTCTGCCCGCTGTATCTGCTTCCTTCCTCCCTGGGGTGCTCAGAACTGAACACGATGCTCCTCGTGGAACCTGGCCAGGGCAGAGCTGATCTTGAGTCTTTATCAGTGAGGGTCAAGCACAGACCGTTCAGACAGAACCTCAGGAGTCCTCAGCAGGGCTCTCCTCACGGGGAGATGTGGAAGAACACTTATCTTAGAACCTGGCGATTTAGGTTTGAGTCTCAGATCTCACACGTACTAGCTGTGTGATATGAGGGAAGTCACTCCGCTTCTCAACTCCAGTTGCCTCATCTATAAAATGGGTATACTAGTTCCCAGGCTAGGTAGCTTGTGAGGAGAGGGCTTTGTAAACAAGTCACTGCTACAGTCATGTCATCAATATGCACTTATCACCACTAGGCACTTAACTTATGTGCCAGGGGATGATACGGGCCCCACTTCTTAGCAGGGAAATGGCGTCATTCTATTGCAGGGCCCTCTGAGATGACGGTGTGTTTCACAAAGAAGACTCACACCCTGGTCCCTGGTGCTGAAGCTGGACCCTGGACCTTAAACTGAGTCCGCGGGATAGGTGACCACTTCGGTGCGGGGGCTGCTTCCCTGATGGCTCCACTGTAGAAGACACAGTTCCTGCCCTAACGATCTAGTATGGGAGACCAGGCACAGCTGCGAATAACGATAATAAGAAGTGGAATATGAGTGTCTCACAACAGGCATAAGGAAAATATCAGAAGGGTTACCAATATCTTGGACAATGTACTATCCAGAATCTAGCCTGGAGGACTCCTAACAGACCTGTGATGGGTACCCTTTTAGCATCATGAACCCCTATGGGCCCCTTATCAGAATGATGGGGTTTTTTTTGGCTAGACAATGGGATTAAGTGACTTGCCCAGGGTCACACAGCTAGTAAGTGTCAAGTGTCTGAGGCCAGATTTGAACTCAGGTCCTCCTGACTTCAGGGCCGGTCTCTATCCACTGCCACCTAGATGCCCCTAGAGGGCATTATATTAACAGCATTGAGCGCCATAACGATTCAAGACTTCCCAAGTGAAATCTACAAAGTGTTGTAACCATCCACACCGGAAAAACAAAATGTTTGGAAAACATATGTTGGCTAGCCTATGACTCGTAGCCGGGAGGAGAGACTGTTGAATGAGGAGTGTGTCCATCGGTAGAATAGATATGCTTTCAACAGGCACCGTAATTGGACAATAAGCTGAGCCCAGAAGGAAGAAGAGGAGACTGGTCTTAATTGCGTTCGAGATTTGGGCAGCACTTTCAAGTCTCCTAAACCGATTTGTAAAAGCACCATTGTCTTCTCTTTTTTTGACTAGGCAATGGGGTTAAGTGACTTGCCCGGGGTCACACAGCTAGTAAGTGTTATGTGTCTGAGGCCAGATTTGAACTCAGGTTCTCTTGAATCCAGAGCCGGTGCTCTATCCACTGTGCCACCGAGCTGCCCCCAACCATTGTCTTCTCAAAGACTGTCAATGACTGCAAATCAGAGAATGCCATGGCCTCAGAAAAATAAAAAATCCTAGGAACCAAGAGGGGTATGAAAGAGTGCTTGGCGTGTTGCATCCCCTGTTGGATTGTAAGCTCCTTGAGGGCAGGGACTGTCTTTTGCCTCTTTTTGTATCCCTAGAGCTTAGCACACTGCCTGGCACATAGTAGGCGCTTAGTAAATGTTTACTGATTGCTTGATGAGCACACTCCCACTAATGAGATCAGAGATCTTCCAAAGTATGAATGTAGGCCTGAAGAGTTTCATCAAACAGACCGGAAGACGCTCAGTCTCTCTGCAGCGTCTAGGCTTCCTCTCACAGAACCACAGAATTTCAGCACTGGAAGGGGGCCTCAGATGGAGTCAAGACCCAATCCCACCTGAGCCGAAATCCACAGGAAGTGGTCACTCAGCCTTCTCTTAAGGACCTCCAGTGATAAGGCCTCCTGACCTCTCGAGGCAGTTCACTGTATTTGGGGATAGTTCTACTTGTTAGGAAGGTTTTCCTTCCAGCCAGCCAAGATCTGGTTCTTGGTGACTCTACAATCTCTCCACCTAACACCCCCAGGCTAAGAGTCTGCCCCACCCCTCCCACATCGAGCTCCCCTGGGACCAGAGGGGGAAAAAGGGTAATCCCTCTTCCAGATGACAGTTTGGACACAATTCTTTCCCCTCCTTAGTTTTTGATTCCAAAAGCTAAACATGTCTGGTTCCTTGAGCTGACCCTTCTATGGCTTCCCGTCCCATCACCGCTCTGGTCACTTTCCTTTAGACACATTTCAGCTCGTCCCAGTGCTTCCTACAAGGTTTTTGTCCAGTCTTGAACACAATCCTGGGGCCGTAAGGGCAGAGGGCAGCGCACAGAGGAGCTGCCTCCTCCGTGGCCTGAGATCCGGGACCTCTCCATGCTTCCTAAGGCTCCACTGCCCCCACTGCTGGCCACATCACACAGCTCATATTGAAGTCTGCTTCCTAAAATCACCGGGTCTGTCATCTAAGGCTCTCTCTACTGCTCACATTTTATGTCTAAGGGGAAGTGAATTTGTTGAAGGTAGAGGGTTTGGCCCTGGAATGAAAAGATGAAGAATGACCCAGTCCTTGCCCTAACTGGGCTTACAATGGACTAGGGGGTGGGACATCTAGACAAGTGAAGAAGGCTTCGTGGAGCAGGAGGCACGTTTCATTCATTCAAAAGACACTTAGAGGCAGCTATGTGGTGCAGTGGATAGAGCACCGGCCCTGGAATCAGGAGGACCCGAGTTCAAATCCGGCCTCAGACACATAACACTTGCTAGCTGTGTGACCCTGTAAGGCACTTAACCCCAACTCACTTCACACACACAACACACACACACACACACACAGACACTTAGGGAGGGCCCACTATGTATAGAAGCCCTGGGTGATAATGAGGACATAAGGGAGACCAAATATCCCCGGGAGCTTTACCCCCTGGGAGAGAAGAGTGTTCCAGCTTGGCTAGAGCATAGGAGCTGAGAATCTACCTTTCGCCAAGGGGAGCCATGACATATTCTGGTCAGGACCATGCTTTAAGAAATATGGCAATAAATAATGTAAAAGATAGATCAGGAGAGGAAGAAGGTGGAGGTAGAGAACCAGTGAGAAGGCTCCTGAGAGTTCCGAAGGAAGGTAACTAGGGTCACAACCAGGCTGGAAGTCATGGAGGCAAGGAGGGGCAATGGGTGTGGATAAATAACTGCCCAGTTCAGACCAAAAGGCCTCGGGGACGGATTGGGCCTGAAGGCTGAGGATGAGGGAGGAGTCAAACAGGACTGAGTTTCTAGCCCGGGTGGGGGAAAGAACACTGATTCTGTACAACTGGAAGTGGGGGGGGGAGAAGCTTAGTCTTTGGAATGTTGTTTCCTCACCTGGAATGTGGCCACGAGCCACAATCAACGCTCCCACCAAGACACGCAGGAAGGCTTTTCACATCTGTCTACGAGCAACATAGCTCTCGATTTGGCAAAAATGGCACTCCCTTGAAACACTGGACTTCCTATAGGAGACGCTGCCTCCCGGGACAAGCTGGCACTCGGAGGCGCTTTACAGGACCACAGTATATTCTAGCGTCCTTAGCACGACCTCAATACGCCACAGCTATAGAATGAAGGCGCTGGGGATGCTTCCCTCGGAGAAAAGACAAGGGCTGGGGGAGGGCAGTGAGAGTGTACAAGGAAGGGCCGTGCCCTGCCCCAGAGCACCACGTTTCCACTCAGTACCTAGGGAGCACCTGGCGCCTCTCACAAGTGCTCAGGTGTGGAAAGGGCTGCTTCCAGGCGCGGCCCCTTGTTTGTGGGGGTGTTCTGGGGGCAGGAGAGGATGCTTGCTCAGGACCTACCATCCTCCAATACAGGCTCACTGCCTAGAGTACCTCGTGCATTCAACTCAACCACGGGCCTAAATGCCTACCCACCATGGGCCTATATACAAACCGTACAGTGCCCACAAGGTGAAGAGTCAAAAGCAGCCCAGCCCCCTGCCTTCCGGAGGGACACAACACAAGGCAGGAGAGCGGAAGAGGGGTAGCAAGGTGGCACAGTGGATGGAGCACTGGCCCTGGAGTCACTAGGACCTGAGTTCAAATGTGGACTCAGACACTTGATACTTACTAGCTGTGTGACCCTGGGTGGGTCACTTAACCTCACTGCCTGGCCCTCACCCCCCCAAAAAATAAGTTAAAAAAAAAAGAGTGGAAGAGAGGCAGGCGAGAAGGCAAGGACCAGGCAAAGAGCCAGGAGAACCCTTTCAGCTAGGAAGACTCAGAGAAAACATTGGCCTAGGCTGGGAATAACGCCCTCACCCGAAAGAGCCTCTCCTCCATTTCACTTACATCGAATCATCCTTCTGCAGAAAATTCTAAAGCCCTGAGTCTTATCGAAAGCATCTCACTTCACAGGAAAGCCATGTGAGGGAATGACTCAGAGTCTTCTTTGGCCAGACCACAAGCGGCACGTGGTGGGGAGGACGCGGGAGATGCTCACGGTGGGGAGAGGAGTGGGAGGCACGATGGTGGGGAGAGAGAACTTTGAAATGCCTGTTACCCCAAGTCAGGCTGAAGACACTTTTTCTCCTGGATTACCCATCTTTTATGGCATGTAAGGGTAAGACGGGCCTGATTCTGGCGGACCAGAGCCTAGAGGCAGGTAGTGGGGGAAGAGGGAGACGTGCACTCTCAGAACGCCGTGGATCAAACCCGGCCCCCAGAAGAGCCCTGCTGGCGATCCTGGCGGTGGCCAGAATGCTTGGATGGCTGACGAAAGCAGGGAAAGTTAAGTTTACAACTGAAAAGCACGGAGAAGGTACCGTAAGGTTCAGCTTAAGGCATGCAGGGCAGGACCACACACTGGAAAGAGGCTTGGGTTGAGTGCCAGGAGGCTCTGAGTCAGGACTTCCTCCCAGGTGCAAGTCACTGACCTGAAACTCCTCTTCCTCACCCATGACGAGCAGGGCTCGGGCCACTTCCCCCCAGGGATGGTCTCCGGACCATGGGACTCAGACCTAGAAGGGACCGTAAAGGTCATCTGGACCAGGGCTCCGCCAGCTCATTTTGTAGAGCTTCTGATACCTGTCGGTAAATACGATTGGTGTCCCCGTGTACCGCACAGCGTGCTTGTGAAGTCCCTTCGCTTCCCAGACTGGCTGCCCAGGGGCCAAGGCACAGAAAAGGGCTCCAGCTTCAACTAACTGGTTAAACCCTAACTCTTTTGGATTCCAAATGAGGAACCTGGCCCCCCGAGAGGTCAAGTGACTTCCCCAAAGTCACAGAAGCGGAGAGCAGAAGAGTTGGGATTGGACACCAAGTGTTTCAAGGAAACTGCTCTGTAAATCTGAAAGCGAGACACAAAAAGGAGCTTTTCAGCGCTGGGTGACAGCTAGGATTCCTGGGAGCGGCCGAGGCCTCCAACACTGGCCCTGGGAGGCCAAGCACCCAAGTCCAAGTGCTGGCCCTCAGCCAATCACGGGCTGTCTAACTGTGGGGAATTCATTTCCCTGAAGGGGCTCCTCATCCCCTTCTGCGCCCTAAGAGATTGAGGCAGGACAATCGCAGCCAATCAGACTTAAGCTGCTCTGAAGGCGGCCCCCTCTGAGCAGCAAAGAAGCCAAACAATGAAAGGATGAGAGGGTGGGGAGCCCTCTGCCAGAGGAGAGGGCTTTTCCTATCAAGGACAATCTGGGAGGGGGCGCCCTGGCAGCTCTGGTCACTCTGCAAACACACTGCTGATGCTGGACAGTTTTTTTCCAAGGCCTGCTCACAACACTGCACACATTTCCTACCCACGTAGGCTTTGGAAGAGCTGGAGGAAACATCTGCCTCGGTACATGACATCATTAATCTACTGGTCAATATCTGACAAAACCCAATACGGCGGGGCCCGGGCCTCTTTCTTCTCTGGAGGTTGTTACCGTCCCCACCTAAAAGTTCAGGCACCAAACCCTTGTCATCTCTCCAAAGGGAATTTACGTTTCGATCCAGTTTCATCGCGTCTAGAATGAGGCAAGAGACAATATGCACACTGTCCTCTGAGCTGGTCAGATCACCCTTGGCAACCACACACATTCAGCCCTCGGTCCTGAAGGAGGGACGCCCTCAGGCCAGGGCACTGAGTGGAGGGAACCATCTCAGGAATGGCCTAAGGGACTGGGGATGAGGACTCTGGGAAGACAGCTGTCCTGTCAATGGCAGGATTGGCTTCGTTTGGCTTCAGGGGGCAGACCGAGGCACAGTGGGGGGAAGCCGCAGAGAGGAAGGTTCTCCCTTGATGTCCAAAAGACCCCCGATAATGAGAGCCATCCCCCAGTGGAATGGCCTGCCTCGGGATTTAGCAAGCTCGCCATCCCTGGAGATCTTCCAAAGGCGTCCAGACACCCCTTGTCAGGGCTGCTGCCGGGCTTGCCTAGACTTCCTATCCTCTCTTGAGGTCTCTGGATTGCGATTTGATCTGGGCAGACGCTCCCTCTGAGGGTAACATACATCCTCAAATAGAATTGCCCGGGGTACTGAGCGGTCAAGGGCCTTGCCTAGGGTCACAAAGCTAGTCCATGTCATCGGTGGAACATAAACTCACGAGGGTCTTCCTGACTCCAAAAACAGATCTAGTCTTTGAGTCTGTCATTTTGGTCCAGTTTGGTCTGACTGGTGACAAGGAGTCTAAGACACAAGTATTTTTCTCCCTAGATATGAAAGCCAATTATTAAGGAGCACACAGATGGGCAAGTCCCTTCCCTCACCCCAAGTTCTTCAATGTTAGAAGCTTGGAGGAAATGGAGAAGGACACAGGCTTGAGGCTGATTTTCATGCTCTGGTTTTCCTGGTGAAAATGCAAATTAGGTTTGTTTTTCATCGCACTCAGCTGGAGGCAGAACCAAAAATATTCCAAGAGACCACCTCAGGACCAGCATCATACGTGGCACATGGCAGGGTTACTGATATGTGTAAACTTACAAATGTACATGATGATGGGCAGTAAGTAGTAGAGTGAGACAGGTATTCAATAACATAACAACCCCCTCATTTTATAGAGGGGGAAACTGAGGCCCAGAGGACAGAAGCACCTTGCCTAAGATCACATGGGCAGAGCCAGGATTCAAACCCAGGTCTTCAGACTTCAAGTCCAGTTTACCACATAGGAGGGAGGAGGGAGGGGGGGAGAGGACGAGAGAGTCAGAGAGAAGAAGAGAGACAAAGACAGAGGCAGAGAGAAAGAGAGAGACAGAGACAGAGAGACAGAGGGAGAGAGAGAGGGGAGAGAGAGAGAGAGAGAGGAAGAGAGAGAGGGAGAGGGAGAGAGAGAGACAGAGAGAGAGAGAGAGAGAGAGAGAGAGAGAGAGGGAGGGAGACAGAGAAATAGAAACAGAGACAGACAGAGAGAGAGGGAGGGAGAGAAAGAGAGACAGAAAGAAAGGGGGAAGGGGGGGAGAGAGAGAGACAGACAGAGAGACAGAGAGAGAGAAAACAAAACACTTAGGAAGGTCAGTAAGGAGGGAGTCTTAAGGGTAAATGTAATGAAGTAAAAAGGCATTTGTCAATGCCAAAGCTCTTTACACGGACGCCTGTCAGACCAGTCATCTTAGATTACTCTCCACCTCAGAAGCCCCCAGCCCGGAGGTTTTCTCCAGCCAATGACTCCTCCCAAACACAAGCTCCCCTGTATTCCAGGAGCTGCCCGGGTACAGCTGACTCTTGCAGGGACCTCTCTCTTTGTCAAAGCTAAACCCCGTCAGTCTGGAATGAAGGCCACCTCATGCCACAAGGTGATGGGACAGAGACAAAGATCACACTAACAAAGGCACTGGGGCCTTGGTGTGCCCTGGTGTGGGAGGTCACAAGCTGAGACCTGACACTCCGCTTCCTGAGTGTGTCCCCAGGGATTCCAGCTTAGGATGGGGCTGAGGGCCCTTCCAGCTTGGAGAGCCTGGGGTTCTGACAAAGAAAAACTTTCTAATGGCGTCATTCGACAGCCAAATGGACTGGCTTGGGTGAGCTGGGTGCAGCCGTGAGCTCCTGGGCAATGCAAATCATTCTGCCACCAAAGGCTGGACGGTCTGTCAGGGATGTCTGCTGGGTGGGCGGGGCCTCCTGGGGCATTCTGGGTTGGGACGGGTGTCCTTGAAGGGCCCTTCTGGGGTTCTAAGGTACTTCTGGAGAACTCCTTCGAGATCATTACTTGTGTCTTTGTCCACCAAAGGGATGGTCCAAGAAAAGGAAGATTGAACTGAAGCAGCCCTCAGACCAAACAGATTTCCTTCAACGTAACTTGTCATTTTTTTTTAAAAAAAAATTTAATCTAATTAAACTTTAAAAAACAGCAATGACATTTATTAGGTTCACTGACATGCAAAGAATGATAGATTTCTGTTGGAAAACCTAATTATATACAGCAGCAACAGAAACACAGTGAAAAGGAGCCAATTCATACCTTCCAATGGAATGCATTTTTCCTAGATATCTCTGTCAGCAAAGGAAGGAAGGGGAGGGAGGGAAGGAAGGAAGGAAGGAAGGAAGGAAGGAAGGAAGGAAGGAAGGAAGGAAGGAAGAAAGGAAGGAAGGAAGGAAGGAAGGAAGGAAGGAAGGAAGGAAGGAAGGAAGGAAGGAGGGAAGTCAGAGAAAGATAGGGAGGTGTGAGGCAGTGTCTGGAAGAAGCCCAGCCTCCCTGAGGCCACTGCGCTCTGACCATTCCCTCTTGCTTTCGCCGGGATGGCTATTTCCATGTGGTCAGGGCAGTCTTTCCTGTGTCTCTGGTTCGACTGCCTTTAAGCCCAATGGATGGCCCAGAACGATTCCTTAGGTCCCGATCTGCCCCGTCGTTCTGAGCTAATTCTTCATCGTACCTAAGAACAAAAACAGAGTGAGTCTATGTTGTCTCAGGAGTGGGGCTCTCAGGCCATTGTGGCCTTCCCGACTCCAGCTCCTCTCCCCACCCCCTCACAGTGGGCACCAACTGAAGGCAGCCCGTCTCTGTTTCTTGATGGGTGACTGGGGGCACAGAGGGAGGCCAGCCCAGGATAGGAAACTTTTAGGGCTACTGCTCCCAGAGGAGAACCTGGCCTCCATCAAACACCCCGAGGGGCCTAGGAGGCGTCACAGAGGGAGGAGAGCAGAGGGTGCCTACTTACCACCCAATGCAAACTGCTGTGGGTCAGCTTTTCATCCATTCATCTGCTCAATAAACATTTATTAAGCCCCAACTCTGGGCAAGGCACTGAGGCAAAAAGGAGGCAATTTCTGTCCTCAGCACCACACTCCCAGGGCTACTGGGAGAACATAATGAGATGGTATTTGCAGAGACCTCAGCACAGTGCGCAGCATCCAGTGGGAGCTTAATAAATGCTCATCCCTTTTCCCTTCCGTCCCCTCCCCTCAAGGAGCTGCCATTACACTGAGGGGGCCCTGACCCAGGGCTGTCAGGAGAGGCTTTCTGTGGGAGAGAGCTCCAAGGGAGGCCAGGCATTCAGAGAGAGGGCAGGCATGCAGGCTTGGGGGGATCCCCTTCGGAAAGGACCAAAGCGGTACGCTTCGGCCTGCCTGCACCCCCTGCCTTCGCTGCCTCTGAGAAGCTGTGTGCTGGTGGACTACACAATCACCCTCTCTGGGCCTTGCTTTTCACACCAAAAAACGAAGACTGGACTTATCGGGCCAAACTCGGTGGAGGACCTGACTTATCCTGCAGGCCGGCCTGAGGAGTGCAGCAGCCAGGCCCAGGGCCCAGGCTGGCCTGGATCACCGCTTCCTGTGACCCCCTTCAATCTCCTTTTGCCTCGAGGTGCTTCTAGGTGGGGCCCACCCCCAGTCCCTCTTCCAACTTACAAAATTTCATAATTGCCAAGCACTTCCTTGGGCGGTGACTTATTCCACTTGCAGTCTGGAATTTCGCCGTTGGGCACGGCGATGTTGAGGGTGTCATTGATCAGGTTGTACTTGAGGATCCGGTCGTTGGCCGTGCTGGAGGTGAGAGATGGGGACGCGTTAACCTAAAGAAATGACACAAGGCGACTTTGACCTGGGACCCCACACACACGAACCTCTTGAGGAAACAATGGCAGAGGAGAGCCGGGCTCGGGCCACGCTGCGGATATTCCCCCGGCACCCCGGGTAGCCGACACCACAGGCCTGGGCTGCTGGGTGACTATGCAGTGCATCACCGAGCATTCTCCCAGGAGCACCTCCTTCACCAGGCACCACGTCAGCGACTGGGCTGCTCTCTAAGACACCTTCCTGGCTCACTGAGTTCTGAAAATGCCCCACAAATGTCCCGTTTGTCCTCCCAGAGGGTGTCCTTGTCAGTCATCACAGCTCCTAAGGGGACATTTCTATGCTTCTTGGATCAGCACCACAGGCCTGGTAAAGATCAGAGTAGGGAACCACTGGGAAGAGAGCGGACAGGGAGAAAGCCAAGGAAGGGACCTGGATGCACGGAGCAATTGCGTCACTGCCTCGCTCAACTTACTATGCGAGTCTTAAAAACAAACCATGAAACAAAGTCTCCGTTACAAAGACAGCCCTCGTTCTGGTTCGCCTGTCTATGTAGAGTAGAAACGCCAGGTTTGGTGGTGTCGGCCATGAGGACTAACGGGAATCACCCAGGGCTGGCCAGCCCAGGCTGGCGGCCGCTGCCTGCTGGGCCTACCATCACCGTTCACTCTCCACATCACCTGCACTTGTTTGAAGACCCAGCAAAGCCACCCTCCTGGAGAGCAACGGCAAAAGCCGCATGCTAGAAGGAATTCATCTGGGAATCTCATTTGACACCGGCCCCATCTAGCTACACAGAGACAGCTATACGTTGCCATTTGCAGATGTACAATTACAGCGCGTGTGCACCTTTCGGACGGGACAGCCTCGACGACAGAGGCTGTTCTTACTTCCTCTTTCTCTCTCCAGCCCTGAGCACAGGCCTGCACATAGGAGGTACTCAGCAAACTCCTGCTGACTGAGGGCTCCCCACAACACCCTGTGAGACGAATGCTGTAGGGATTATTCCTCTTTTGTAGGTGCGGTGACCAAGGCTCAGAGAGCTTCAGTCACACAGCTCTTCGAGGTTTTGGAGATGGGATCTGAACCCAGGTCCCTCCTGATTCCAAGTCCAGTGCTCTCTGAGCCACAGCAGGCCATCCATGTGGCCTCTGTTTCTGTCATTTTAAAAAACTCCCCCTGGTCCTTTTCCCATCCCAGCCTGGGAACACCCGGCCACTCCCAGGTCAAGCTGGGCTCTCTCCACCGCTGCCCCTTATGGAGATGGTCACTGTGGCTCAGGGAGCAACAATGTAGTCCTGGGGGGGAGCCATGGCCAGCTCGCCCACCCTACCCTATGCCTGCCCACAACGGGAGCTCTCTGAAAAGCAGCAGCAGCAGGAGGGGGAGGAGGGGAAGGAGGGGGAGGAGGAAGGTGGAGGAAGCAGAGGAGGGGGAAGGTGAAGGAGGGAGAGGAGGAGGAGGGAGAAGAGGAGGGGGAAGGTAGAGGAAGGAGAGGAGGGGGAGGAGGGGCAGGGTCGGGCCCAGGCCGCAGGGTCCTTACCTCGATCAGCCAGGGTTTCAGTTTATCGTCAATGATGATGTCATAGCCGTAGCACTCAAAGCAATGCTTGTCATTATTCATCACGGGCTGAAAAGAGAGAGACGCGAGGCTGATGGTTGGGCGACAGTCAGTGCGTGGCTTCCTGTCACAGGCCCATCCTGGGTCTGCAATCTTCCCTGGCCAGATCTAAACGACACAGCGCACACGTACCGCTCAGGGCGGCTCTCGCCGTCACCCGCCGTCTCCTGTTGACGGCAGGGCTGGGAAGCGACGTGGCCGCTGTCTCGTGGTTTACCAATTCTGTCCCCATCTTTGGCTCGAATTCTGCGCCCTTAGCGTCGTCTTCATTCACACTGTCATAACTACTGCATGTGGGGTGCCTCTGGCCAGGCTCACTTCCTCCAAGTCCCCTCTGGTCTATCTGCCATTCCTCATGATGCACTAATATTCCATTACATTTACACAACCATACAAAAGCTCAACCACTCCCCAACTGCAACCCCTTTGTTTCCAGATGTCTGCAGTGCCAGGTGAGGCTGCTATGACCACGCTGGGGCCTAGAGG